TTCATCACAGTCTGTTGACCTGCCACGACTGGCAGCATGACGAAACCCATGAAATGTCGTGATCGGCATTTCAGTGGTTGTTAATTGAATTGACTTCAGGCACAGAAAACCCTTTACCATGGAAGAGTTCATTTCAAATTTCTTTTATGGGAGGAAAATGGGCGAAGTTTAGGCGAAATCGAACATTTCCTGATGCCCGGGTAATTTCCTGCATTATTCTGTATCACCTGCCAAGGTTTATTGTTTTCACGCATTGTACTATAAGGGAACACTAAGATGAGCAGGAAAATCTTCTTAGAAAATCCCTTCTGGAAACGAAAAAAGGGATTTTGCACCCAAGAAAATCAGGTGGATCCGGCTGTGCGAAATCGCACTATTTTAAAGAAACGAGAAGCATACTAAACCATAAAAATTCTATTTTTCGAATCTGTGGTCTTTTATGCGAAACAATACAGTAATAAACTTGCTTCGAAATACTCTGCTCTACCACAGCGAGAATAATAAGGTGATAACAAATATGTACAGCAGGCGGGCTAACTCACGAAATGTCAATCGAAATTCCGAAGTGCGTTTTCGTTTCGAAAAGATTAATTAAATAGGGTTGTAAAATTAATCATCATGCAGCATAATTCAATAATAATTCGGTCACCGCAGGATGTCGGCTTTCGAACGAACTCCTTTTTTGTCGTATGCCAAAACTACACCCTGCAAAAAATGACTACTTAAGTAGCATGAATTTTTCTCGTTGATCTTCGATGCCCTTAAACATTCAATTATAATTCATGGACAACATGCAAAAAATATACATTGTTTTACTCGTTTGGTAGAAAACTACGTCTTCTTCCAACATTATACTCGAAAGAAGTGTATAATTCGGTTTTCAAAAACTTTTCCAACTTCCGAATAATTTTCAACGCGCTGTGCCGTGACACTTGCATTCGGGGTTTCCACACTACAAGCCGCACATTTTCCGCGTACGGATAACCACACATTTCTCTACGATGATAAAGAGGGACCATATACGATTCATAAAATTTAGCAGTGGATTTGATCTACATTGTTAAATTTACAAGCCACATAGGTAAATGCAGAGAAATGACGATTTATGAACGGCCATTTCACGGTATTTAAAAGTCCCTCAATTAGCAACTTTTTTAAAACCGAATAATGCCCCTCCTTCGAGTATAAAATTGGAAAAAGACGTCATTTTCAACCGAATAAGTAAAAGAATGAACATTTTTATGCATTTTTCCATGAAATATACTTGAATCTTTAAGGACATCGAAAATCGATGGTGAAATTGCATGCTACTTAAGTATTCATTCCTTATAGAGTGTAACTCTTGCATGCAGCCGGAAGGAAGTTCGTTCGAAAGCCGTAATCCCGAGGTAACTGAAATATTATAGAATTATGTTGCAGGCTGACTAGTTTTACAACCCCACTTAATAAATCTTTTTGAAACGAAAACGCATCTCGGGATTTCGGTTGACACTTCGTTTTTTAGCCCACCTAGTGTATCTTGAGCTCCCGCGGCATGCTGTCACTTTTCTGTGTCACGTCGTGCGACAAAGATGTCATAGCAACGTTCCTGTCGGACGTTAAATCTATGCGCATCGAAAAAAAAGTGACAGCCGAAGGGCTAGTGCGTGTGAGTAGTTAGCTAACATTTTTCGTATTTGCCAGGACACTCTCTGGAAGATTATTAATAATAGGGCAGTGGCCAGAAGTAAGCAAATTGAACCAAAGCGATCCACAAGAAAGCAAGATGACGATTTTATCCGTCAAGCACCATAAAGAATTTTCGATGAGAATACACTGTATCGTTAGCAACTGACGACGTCTGATGGTTTGGATGGTTCGCAGACCGACCGATCTGACGGTCGGCAGCGGAGATCACTAATGGCAAGGTGTCAATCTACATCGGTCACGACAGCATTTGTTAACGTCGAATGCACACTGTACTGTTGCAGAATAATGTCACCGTTCACCACTCAAATGAGGCTTGAGGCCTGCGACTATAATCTGTTTATTTTTCTAAATCAGAGCCAGTCTTTCCGTCTGCGAAGCACTTTTATTCCCGCCAGTAGCCGATCGAAAGTCATTTTGCATTAATCAAAAGGAATAAAGACAAGGCAAGAAACAATGCCTTTCAATACAGAAAAAGCTGGATTTTGTGTCTCCTAACTGTGTAGGCCAAACTACCATAGACAACTTAGCAGTATATATGTCTGCTGGACTTACAGCAGTTCTAAAACCTAAAGGGCACTCAAGAAAGCGAGCCAGCGTTGTATTTTCTACGGTTTTTTTCTCATTATTTTGCCGTTGTATCACATTTTCTCTCCCGTCAGTTATATTGGGTCTTATATAATTGATTCGTCATTAAGTCATCTTTTCTGATTTGATGGCTCTCGATGAAATAGACTATTTCCTAGCTAATAAGTAATACTTCAAAAACCAAATTATGCCTTTTTTTAGAACATCCATCGTTCCTTTAACGCGGTAAGACTTTCCATATGTCGGTAGGCAGTTCTTGCGCTACAAGGGTTTTAGTGCTCGTGACTTTTCATCTGGGAGGCAACGAATTGTACCTCGACTTGTCCTTCAGAATTCTACAAGTGGTGTCTAAACCAGAAGAGCTCCAAGTGAGTACCTCACCAAATTTATCCGCCTACAGAAAAGTCCGAAATCAGCATCGACGACTCAAGAAAGTTCCTATAAAAAGCAGAAGGAACCACGCTCCCAACTTAGGACCTAATGGTATTATCTAACTCAATCTCCCTGTTTGACTCGATTATGCTAGATTTGGCCTGCGTCGCGGATTTGTGTCTGTGGAGGATTCGCTTCAGGTCCCAGATCTCCTTGTCCAGAAAGTAACTCTTACTCCGCCAATAAAAAAGGTCCCTGTGCGTTCGACTGCAAGTAAACTTCTGGCAAAAGTAAACGTGCATGAGACATCTGTTACTGTTGGCAGATCTGAATAATCAAACTGACTCAACTGTGAAAAAAAACCGGCATTCGTAAAGAGGCTCGAACACCCGAGCGGGTACAAGTGTGAAAGACGCAGGGCTCTCGTTCGGGGGCCGCGTAGGGGAGGTGATGAGAACGCTGGCTGTACTCAGGCCATGTCCCTGCTGTCGGGCGGTTCGAATTCCGCCGCCGTCACAGAGTTGTTTTACAGTCGGGTGTCAGCTACATTTCTTATCGTCAAAAAAGATCAACTGGAATTGCTCAACAGCACTCTAGGTCCCAATTTCCCGATAAGTGAATTTACTATCAAAACGAAAGTTGATAGAAGACTTCCAGTTGGGGATCATCACACACTATGACAACAGTCGTCTTTCTCCCAGACAGAAGTTAGGGAATAGAAACGAAACCTAATAACCCAACGAAGGAAGTTATTAAGCAGAATAAACTCTACTATTCTCCCAAACCGAACACCCTTTGACATTGTGCGGCCGTGTAGGAGACGCCACGAGTGAAAGGAGAATAAAAAACTACAGTCGTCGAGACCTAAAAACAACCACTTAAAGAACGTTCCTACAACTAAGTTGCCCACCAGGCTCATACACTTTAGGAACAGGGGGCTGTTTCGCATGGAGTTAAATCGTCTAAAAATCCCAGGTACCGGTTGCGATGTAGTTTATTGTGGACAAACAGGAAAACCTGCCCCCTTCAATGCACGCGAGCACTGCTTGGCAGTTAAATGACTAAAACATCTGTCGCAGGTGGCCATGCACAAGCTAGACACGAGGCACGTATTGCGTGAGAAAAAAGTCACATCATTGGCGCCTTCCCGGAGTGGAACGCCGCGAATTCCTAAAAGCTGTGCACTCAGGTGACGCATCAATCGACAGACATATCGGTTTATACACGACACACAAAATTTTGAATGAGTGTTTTCTTATTTTGTTCATGGGTGCGGGGAGGATCTGGGGAATCAGTTTTGGGAATAAACACAGTAAAGTCCTTTGGGTGCCAAAGAAGTTGACCTATTCCAAATATGCACAGACAGCGACGGATCCCATTAAATATTAACCAAAATTCTGAAATAAGTTTCCGATCGGGACGGATTACTTAAATAGGGTTGTGCTACTGACAATCCTGAACGCCATGCTTTCTGGAAATGTCCAATGCAGCTTGTACATGAGCCGGCCTTGACGTTGTTGCAGTGTCTACTTACTCAAAATAAGCAAAGATTCGCATGTGCAAATCTGAATATTGAAAAAAATGGTATAACTTCCCCAGTGTGTTTTGGAGACTCGCGTTGTTTGCTTCCGGACATATTATGTTAACAGTTTCGAGGTACATTAAAATTCCAAAGACAGGTGGGCAAAACAGCATAATTTAGTAGAACAGTCTCAGTGATGTACTCTTGTTCCAAAACTGCACTCACATCGATGGAGAAGCATAAAATGTAGGGGAAATTAAATTGCCCTGGAGTTATTTTTATCGCAGGCCTGAACCAATGAGAAGGGGGACCTACCACCTGTCTGAGATGTTGGTTCCCGTAGAAGCCAACACTTCCCTCAAAGTAGGACTCGGGCACAGCGTACGAGGCGAATCTAGGGAATGAGGGATTGAAAATGAGGAAAAAGAGACAATTTAGGAAAAAGCGGCGCGCACGCGACAGCCAAGAAAGCTAAATATATACCTTTAAATGGTATGTGTCAAGTAGAAATAAGAGGAGAGGCTCTTGAAAGGTAATGCGACCATTCAGTAGTTCAGAAGAATACACTCAGTATCATTAGTAATATCGGTATGATGTGGTTATGAAGCCCCACCTGTTGGACACAATACTGTTGGAGTTCGGATTAGGGCTAAGGTTAGGAGTTAGGACAACTACTTCTTAACCACTCAAAGTACAACCACGCGTTCCCAATAGCTTTTCTTTTGCACAGAATTACTTGACCTCGTCGCCTGTACGTTCCCCCGTGCCACTTGTAAAACCCCTATTGCCACCGGTCCCGTATTACAGGTGGCTGGGCTTGGTTTACTTCAGGTTGGGCTACATTACCACATCTGACCGTGATGTTTAAGGCAGCACGGCAAATTCCCTGATACCATGTGAGTGGAATAAGATAAGCACTTTATAAAGTTCTTAATCTGGGCCTGGTTCATTAAGAAATGAGGGAGATAAAAGACTCGCACGAACGTGAGAGGCGCGGGTGCTTGCTTCATATTCAACCAGCCTCCACGTCGTTTTGCCTGCATGCGAACAAGTGCGCCATCCGCGACGCTCGGACACGACGCACAAGGTGTCCGATGCTCCGTCATGGTCTCCGGAACGCAAACGAAGGAGGCGGCTGTCGTAACTTCCTCCACCGAGAAATATTTATTTTCTCCCATTTCAGTTTTACTGGCTTCGATCAAGCTCTCTGTGTTTAATCCGGATTAGATAAATGGGTGCGTTTTAGGAGTACGCAGTGTGATAGCCGCCAGGTTGTCTGAGAAGTTTGTCAATCGTCCGGAGGATATGGAAGGAAACAAATTACTCAAATGGCAACCTTCAGCCTAGCATGAGGAAGGTGTGGGAGCGACGGAAGATTATCGAGGGGCGAGGCTATGGTCTGTGTTGTTTCTAGGGGAACTGCAATACGTGGTGAAACTCATAGTAACCCTAACTAACATTTTAAAGCACGATTCTGAATAGCTTGAGTGGAATTGAGATACTAATTACCATGCATCATAGTTCTAGGGCTTTCTGGCAGATCAGGATGTTGGGTTTCGACTGAGAGCCTAGGTGGCTGCCTTCGAAAACTGCACTCAACAAGAAGCGTCTACCTGAGTAGTGTGTACTAATTCCATTGATTATCGGTGTCTGTGCGAATTGAATCCAATTTTCTAGAAAGGATATGGTAAAACTCATCTCTTACACCCACTTCGTAGAAACGTACATTATCCCCTAAGTTGGCAACAGAATGGAGAACTTCTAGCCATTTTAAAATTCACGTTTGCTTCCGGTTTATTTTTTTAAAACACACGTGTTCTTACATGCTCGCTGTGTTTCCGAGCTACCTACCGCGTACTTTGTCTCGGGCAAATTTATGTTTATTTTCACATTTCAATGGAGCAGACATAAAGCGAGTCATAGGAGTAGGGTGGAGAGGTGGAAGGCTAACGAGGAGAGGAAAAGATACAGGGGAGTACTGCGTGCGTTGCGGAAGACTCCCAGTAATTCCAGCACTCACTGCTCCTCATATACTCCAAAAACCTCAGAAACGACTTCACCGGCATGCAGACACCCGGGTAGACCCTGAAATTTGCGGAAGGCGCCCAAAAAGGGCTTCTTCGAGGCTGGCGACGGTGAGGACAGCTGGTTCGCGCCAGACACGGCCTTCTCCTGTTCCTCATTATCGCTTCCACTTTGACCAACCAGAATTGGCGCCACCGCTGACGCAGCGACACTTTTTGCAAAGTCCACGCCCTCAAGGCCGAGGGTTGCGATGGAAGTGGCGATTTCCAGGTTGAACTGCCCGCTTCCAGAACCCGCAGCAGTGTTACCGGCAAGGCTGTTTGGAAGACGAAAATGCACCAACAGGGTGAAGGCCTTCAGTTGATCCAACATGTCGGCGTCACCGGTGTCGTAGAGGATTTTCTTGCTGTCCGCGTATAAAAGCTGCGGGAAAGGAGGTGGGGGCGGGGGGGGGGAAGAATGGTGAGAAGGATTCTTTTATGCTGCAGAAAGACACTGACCTCGTATCGATAGTCTGCTTGCCGATTACTGTAAAGCATAGGAGAGGGAGACAGTGTCGGGTGGTTGCCTGCAACTGTGGACATGAGGCATCCTGGAAAGACCACATCACCCTGTGGAAAACCAGTCCGGTGATGAGCGAAGTTGTCTCCACAATATGAGCGGAGCTGGCGACTTAGGACTTAGACATCCGCCTGGACGCAGTGTTTTTATAAGGAAAAAATGTCAAGGGTATGGTTTATGGCCAGGACTACTTACTCCGGGGAGCGACTGTGCTGAAAGAAAATAACTGGCGAAATTACGTGCCTGAGAAAGAAACAAAAAGAGTTCGCGGTAGTTGTTGTGCGGGGCTGGTCAAGATGTTTTAAGGTTCTTACCTGGGAAAAAATACTCAATGCCCGCAAACGGGCGTTAAATTCATTTACTATTATCATTAAATGGTAAAAATAGTGTCCACTTTTAACTGACGATAATATGGAGGATCAAAATTTGTGATATCACAAAGCTCTTAACAGTTCGGCTCTTTAGCTCGATACAAATGCCCCCCGGAGTACGTAAACCCGGCCATGAACCATGGCCTTGTCGAAAAAATATGAACAATGCAGAAGTACGTATTTTTGGCAACAGCGCAATATACGACCCCATTCAGAATGCGGAAGAGAGGTCATCGTGTCTACTGTTCCCGGGAAAGGACGCAATATGCGACCCAACTTTTCGTATTTCTTATTACTGCCTACTGATTCTTACGAAAGTAGTGTTAATTAATTTGGGCGCACGGATTGTCTTTTTTCAAGATAACGAATTTTCCCGTTAATATCACATTCAGCTTATTTGTCAATTGGCACACACACTAATTTGGCATAATTTACCTCTGTTGTACACCTTGGCGGCTTCCCTGTGTTCCGCTGTTCAGCATCATTATGCCGTGTCGTTTCCACCTTACGCTTATGGGCTTCACGTCATTCATCCCTGCGTTTCTATTGGCCATTTCGGTGTCTTGATCTCTAAACTTGGCGTCTCATTATGTTGGCGCTATATTTGGATTCCTTTGGTTGTTTGGTGCTAAACTTCGCTAGTATTCAAGTTCCCGGGTCGCTGTCAAGGTCATACACGGATCTATTTGGACCTATTCCAGAAATAAGAACATTTTCCCAAAACTTCATCCTTTTTCACCGCTCTTTTTCCCATATATCAGTTTCACCCATATTAACCCTACTTCCATCGGTCTCGTAAGACACAATGACCTATCCTCTGCGTATTGCGTCTTTGTCGGGTCCCAAATAAAACAACACCGGGGAATGGTGAGCTGACTTCTCGATCAAGATTCGCTTTGAATGGTTACCTATAGCGGCCACCATAATGATACGACTGTGCGTCAAAGCGTGTTAGATGCGTGTGTCAATTTTCGAGGCAAGAACTGCAGTTAAGGGGCAAACTGAAGGACAAGCTCAGACCGACATAACAATAACAGATTTGCGTCGGCGGGAAAGGCAGAATCCTTTCGGCTGAAGCATGGACAAAGCAGAAGCGACTGGTTCCGCCTTTGATTAAATGATTTATCATTGGAAAAAAAGCAACCATTTCCGACATGAAGGCGACGATAAAAGTTGAAAAAAACGACAGACTTTGATGAGAAGGGGGTTTGGAAGATGGAGGAGGAGGAGGAGGA